TCCTTTTACATTTACTGAAAATTATTTTATGACCTATAAAATAGTTTATCTTAGCAAATGGTTACAATAGATTTGAAAATAATGTATATTCTGCCCTTGTTAAATCAAATATTCTATAAATGCCTCTTAGGTGACACTGGTTTATACAGTATTCACATCTGCATGCTTACTTATATTCTGTCTAATTATTCTACCAATTATTGAGAAATTATAGCATTCTAATTTATTGTTACCACTCCACCAGTTTTGCTTCATGTATTTTAAATTTCCATTATTAGAAACACACATATTTGATGTGATGTACTATTGTCCCAGTTGTTTGAATCCTTTCCCTGTCTATACTTTTTGTTGTGAAATCTACTTTGATTTCAACTCTGTCTCTCTAGCTTCCATTAGATTAGTGTTAATGTGTTGTACATTTTCCCATTCTATTACCTGTCACATCTTCATGTCTTTTTTACCTAAATTGCCTTTTAGGAAACACAGTTTCTTTTCCATTCAATCTGACAAGCTTTGCCTAAATTGAAGAAAATATAATTATAACTTACAATAATTTGATTTTTAAAATCCGATTCTGTCACTTTTATTAGCTTATTAGATATTATTCTTCATTCTAGAATATTATTGAGTGCTTTAGCATTTATGGTATTAACCTTACCAAATGGTAAGTGCTGGGAGTAAAGTATAAGATTGTTACAATGCAATAATTTCCTGATCCCTAGACTTGGCCTCCATATAAATGTGGTCATGGATTTTAATTTTACATTTATTATAAGCCTCATCATGCATTGATATCATTTTTGCTTTAAAGTGTCAATTCCTTTTTTAAAAGATTTACATAAGATCTGAAAAGTCTTTACCTATGTATTAGCATATTCAATGTTCCACATTGCTTAGGTAAATTCAGGTTGCCTTCTGATATCATTCCTCGTCTGTATGAATGACTTTTCAAAATATTTTAATGAACACTATTGATTAATGATTTCACCTTTCGTCTATCTGGCAATATTTTCCCTTTGCCTTGATTTTGACAGACATCTTTTGGAGGTACAAAATTCCAGGTTGAGAGTTATTTCCTCCCAGGCTTGAAAGATCAGAGCCCACTGTCTTCTTCTTTGTTTTATCGAAACAAAAAATCTGCTTCCTCTTTATTCCTTTATAAAAAATGTGGTTCTTTTTCTCTTTCTTTCAAATACTCTCCTCAGTGCTGGTGGTAAGTGGCTTGGCTGTTCTGTGCCTTGCTTTGATTTTCTTCATGTTCGCAGTGCTTGGGGTGTGCTGAGCTTCCTGGCTCTGTGAGTTTTAGTCTCTGTCAAATTTGAAATGCTTCACTCATTATTTTTTCAAAAATTCTTCTGCCTCCTCCCCTTTATTTTGAGGATACAAACGACATTTATTTGGGCACTTACACTGTCCCACCATGGCCCACGTTCTCTCTGTGGCACTTCTTGGTCTCCTCCCAGCTCCATGACTTTACCAAGCGATTTTTATCAGCCCTAGATTTCCAGAGCTCCTGGCTCCATCCACTCCATTCCAGCTGTCCAAGCTGTGCACCAGCCTCAGTTACTTCTCCTTCCTGCACTGTACAGAAATTTTCTTTGGGCGATATGGTGACATAATCAAGAAACTCTCCTCTTTTGCTTTGTGGTATGAGATGTTACAACTCTTCTTTGGCTGATGTCTAAGAGCTTGAGTGCTGAGGGTTTACTGTTTCCTGTGCTTTGTCCAGTAGGACGTACTCTGCCACTGTTTACTCCATCTTAATCAGAAGAAGCTTAGATAGTTTGTTTTCATTGTTTTGTTGTTTTGTCTTCTTTTTTCAGCTTCTCAAAATAGCATACACATACTTATAAAATATGTGACCACAAATATGTGTGACTTTGTAATAAAAGAGCCTGCATAGTCTTAAATAATTACATTGAGTGATTAGTTATATTAACAGACCTGAATATCTCTAATCAACAGTTATATAAATGAAGACTTCTCACTCAGCCTCTGTATTCTATCAGATTTCTCTTCTGATGGGTCAGAAATCAGAAACACAATGTGGTACTTGGGAAGGTAAAAATGGAAGGGCCTTTATTGGAAAGAAAGATGTGTGAGTTTTTAAATACGCAAAACTCATTTTAATAAACCTTAAAATGTTACAGTGAAGCCCATAAACATATCATTAACATGTCTCACAATATAAATCACCTCAGGTCTTATTAGTTCTGGATTCTATTGTGGTCCTCAAAGATCTTTTCATGAAATCTTTCAGTCCCATTCACAGATGTCTCTCCAATGACTGGTTGATGAGAATTCCATGGCTGCAGTATTCCACTTTGAATAATATCCTTCACCTTCCTCAACCTCAGAAATTCATCACACAAACGAAAACCTGTTTCTACATCTGTAATTTCGGCTTTTGTGATCTCCTTGGGTGGTTCATTTATTTCTTGGGGTTTCCAAAGCTGAGAGTATGACACAGGCTATCTGAAAAAGATATCAGAGATGCTTAGATATTTTTCTTGCAATGTTGATTTTAGAGGGGAAAAAACATGGATAATTTTCAGGATTTAAGGTTGACCTCTATATTATATCTAACACAGAGAGAGACTACTGAGACTAGTACTGTGTCCAGGCAGCCCATCTTCTTAGGGCAAACTGAAGATTGCTTCCTTAGTGAGTTGAAACTTCTGGGTGGTCTTCAGAAATAACTTTCTGAGGAAAGCAGTAATATTTGAAATGTAAAATCACATTCGTCTTTAGCCTTGGTGGTAAGAAATAATGACTAACAATTTAGTGGTGTTTGTTTATTCTTTTTTTTTTTTTTTTGAAATCTAGTTCAGGACCTTGCACTGCCAGTTAGGTACTATGCCACTGAGTTATATCCCTAATCCCTGTTTATTCTTGTAGAACTTTTATCTCTGAAATTTAAGAGGGAAAATTCATGATAAATCCATTGGAAAAATTTTAAAGGTGTACGTATTTGGTCTTAGAATTAGTCACATTAAATTAATTGGGGGGCATGCTTTCATGTATTGGTCAGTTTCACATTACTATAACAAAACACCTCAGGCACTTAACTGTCAAAAACAAGAGTGTTAGCCACACTCCTCTGGACCTCTGGTAAGAGCACAAGTGAGCCACCGCAGGAGCATGTGTGAGATCAAATGGTTCACACTGTGAGCCAAGAAGCTGAACAAAAAAGATAGGACAGGTCCCCCAGTGCTCCTCCAGGGCGTGATGAGTGGGATGACCTAGTGTAGTGTTGGTGAGGCTACGGCACACATGCCACAGGAGGCACACAGAACCCTCTCTGTCAGCACATGAGCCAAGTCACCCCAGCATCACCACAGCAGCCAAGCATCGAATAATAGGACACACAGGGGCACTTTGCAATGAATAAGTGGGTTTTGGTTGGAGTTTGGCACTTGGTCTCTAAAAGGTTCACCATGACTGACCTAATGGAAGCTCTCATTAAGCTCTACCTCCTGAAGGTCAAGAGCACCCTGCCATAACTCCACCCTAGAGACCAGCCCTGTAACACATGCACATGAGGAGACATTGTCCAAAACATAGCAGTGACTACCCTGATTCATTTACGCTTATATGTACATACAGGTACATACGTGCACTAAAATCAATGTATGGACATGGGTGTTGCTCGGTGGTAGAGTACCTGCTAGCATTTATGAAGCCCTGGGGTTCATTCCTCTGTACCAGAAAGAAGAGAAAAGAGAGAGAGGGAGACAGGAAGAAAGAGGAGAGGGGAACTAGAGAGGGACAGAGAAAGAGAGAGGAAGGGAAGGGAAAGGAAGGAGGGAACGGAAGGGAAGGGAAGGGAAGGGAAGGGAAGGGAAGGGAAGGGAAGGGAAGGAAGAAAGGAAGGAAGGAAGGAGGGAAGGAAAGAAGGAAGGTAGGAAGGAAGAGGCATATATAATACATTATAATACACTCTATATAATACATTAAAATATTTGGAGTTATACAGAGAATAAAAAATTCCATTTGTGAGAAAACTGAGAAATCTGGTCACCAATTACCACAGTCCGCATGTTTTATCTGACTTTCAGCCTGAAATCTCCCTTGTGCATTCTCTTGATGTTATCACCCCACTGGCCCTGCTGAGGCAGAATGCTAAAGTAGTTCAAGTTGATTGCTTCATTCCCTTGAAGATTCCCTTTAACCTTTTACTTTTCTTCTCTTTGCACTGAAAAGAACTGTGTATCAGTTATGATGGCTTTTATTACCCTGGAAAAAAGTTCGTTTGAGGACTATGTACTACAGGGAACCACAGGACAAGCTGGCAGTCTTAGACTTTACTCCTCCAGTGCCCATGACCAGGGTTTTCATTACCACCTTGGATGTATGCACCTAACACCAGCACAAGCAAACAGTCACCATTTGGGTGCTCGAAATGTTCACTTTTGGTCTTGGCTAAATCTACTGGCCCTATCCCTCCCACCCACTCCTTCCAAATAGGAAGGACAATTAAATTAACTTTTCATTAAAGAAAAGAAAAAAGTCTCCTACAAACAAGGATCTAATAATTAAACTGGATCGAGTGGTAGGCTGAACACATTTAAAGAAGGTAGCATATGCTGTAGACCTTGCAAATCCCGGAGGCAAGATCATTTTAACTGGCATTTTTGGCTGTGTGAATAAAATGCCTGGACTGAAAATTGTGCTGAAGCTTGAACACAGGACTTCAGTTCCCTGCTGTGCTGCTCAGCCTCCTCAGATATGGGCCAAATGGGCATTGGTTGGCGAAAGGATACTGTTGGCCTCCAGCTTAGTTGTCTTTGTTTACCGTTTCATTACTGGAATTAGTCACCGTACCTCACTGTACATAGACAGGTAGAGGATGGTAGACATTTTCTTCTCTGCACACCATTGCCTTGAATGCATATTTTCTACTTTTACAATCTTCTCAGTCTATATTAATGTCTCTCACTTAAATAAGCTTTCCTCAAATACCCACTTGTAAAAGTTTTTTTTTTTTTTTTTTTTTAAAGGGCTCCAAACTGCTTTTGGCAAGTACGAGCCCAGGAAATCATCCAAAATTGAGAGTTCCTACAAAAGAGGTCAGCATCCATTTGCTTTTCATGTGCGTTTAATTGTTGGAGAGCATTTGATTTGGCAATTACCCTAGCACCTTAAAACAGCTTCATTTTTCAAGGGAGAATGAGGTTTTCATGAAGTGGGGCTGCGCCAGGGAGCTCAGGCCAGATCCATTGTGAGTCCTGAAAAGCGGACTTGGGAAGAAAACTCAGCAGGAGCAGCAGGAGCGAGGCTGCCGCGGCGGAGAAGGCAGTGGGGCCTTCTGCGAGGCGGCCAGGGTGGAGGGCATAATCTGTGATCGCAGGAAGACTCCTTGGGCAGGCCACCTCTTCCACTGCTCAGGCGTCCACTCTGGAGACAGCCCTTTGAATCAAATGCATTACTAGACAACCAGGGATCATCAGAAGCCTAAAGACAAGGAGCACCTGGCTTCCTCAGCCAGCACTCAAGTTTTGAAGGGAGAATGCACCTGGATCAAGACCGTGGACCTGCAGATGGACTAGAAGAGTAGATGAGTAGCTCCGGAGTAACTTGAATGTCCCAGACACCAGAGTGTGCTGAAGAGAAAAAGTAGGAGAGTGGAAGAAAGGCAGTGGGAAGGAGCACATACATGTAAAGCTACTTCATCCTGCACAGCCCACTTTGTTACGTCAAAATTCTTGTCTATGCTAGGTTTATACTGTAAGAAAAAAAATGCAGGGCCGGGGATATGGCTCAGTGGCACAGAGCCTGCCTGGCAAGTGAGAGGTCCTGAGTTCAGTTCCCCATACAAAAAAAAACAAAGGCCAATGGATGTATCTTGAGACCAGAGCACTAACTGAAATAGATCAGACACAAGGCTGTAATATCACATGGTTTCTCATATATAAGAAACCCAAAATATAAACAGCAAAATAAAAGTTAGGAAATAGAAACAGAGAGATAGATCTTTTACAAAAGGCAAGGGAACCAAGAGATGAACAGGAAGAGAAAAGGATGAAAACAAATGAAGACGTGATAAGCACACACACCAACTCCCCACGATGCCCGTGACCATCCTGCACTGCAAACGTGGAATAATAAAAATAAAAATGAAAACCAAAGGGGTAAGAACTTCCTCCTGATGTTTCAGGAGGTGGACAATAATATACTGCTCTATATAAAGGTATTTCTAAAATTTAGATATTCTAACACCAAACAGAAAAAATTGAAAGAATAACTAATCCTCTTCATGCTTTCTATTTTATTATACAAAGTCAAGTGTAGCATACACCAAATGTTAAAATTGATAGATGCGACAGGCGAAATAACTATTTTCCAGCTATAACGCAGTGTGGACATTTTGCTGATCCTGATCCGAGCAGCTGCACTGCAGTGCACAAAGCCAAGTAATCATTTCAGCATCTGTGCACACGGGATGCATGGCAATGCAAGAAGGCCGTGGATAGCAGGGTTTCATGGTGGTGGGAGGTCCTTGGGAACATGGATCACATCTTATGTACTTCCTAAAATATTGAATGAATGCTTCGAATTTGATGCCAGCAAATATCTATTTCTTCTGTTTATGCATGCAGCTAAATGGGAATTTATGCTCTTGCTGAGACAGTTATTTTGAAAAGACCTTGCTGCCCCATCACTCAGAAATGCAAATTGTGGTCAAAAGCTTCCTAACTGGGAAGAGGGGGTGCTGCGTGGTTTTTCTCTGCAAAAGAGGTAGCAGGTGTAGCCGTAGCCCATTCATTGCATACGGAGGGAATATTTGCCATTTTGTGCGGTTTCATAAAATTGATTTTGACTAGACCAGTGCTAACGTTAATGATTCAGATGAAATAATTTTCTTTTCCTCTCTTCCTTTGTAACCACCAGATGTTCTTGTTTTCTTGTACATATGTCATAATTTTCAAGTTTACTTCCTTTTGATTCACATCCCAAAGTCCCTATCACCTTAACTTTCAAATAGCCAGCTTCACCTCCTAATGTCTTCATTCTTCTCTCTTTTAGCAACAGCATTTTTATGAAATTCTTCCCTTGATATTCAGGGATGAACATAACAACACACCCTCCCAGGTGCAGAGGGACTAAACCTTCTCTTCTTCCACTGGCTGACACTGAAACGACCTTCTTTTGTTTTCATCACCCTGCAGCCCACCTGCTGCACTCTCTGCTTCCCATCTGTACCCAGGAGAGCTTTGGTCCAGAAGCCTTCCCCAGTCCCCTCACTCACTGCCTCCAAGAGGGCACCACAATGTAGAGGGGGGAGTACAGAGGACAGGGCACATGTACACCTCTGAGTCTGTATTGGTTTATTCCATTTTTATCAACATTAGGACAATAAAGAGATGGCATGGTTGCCATTGAATTAGCTCATAGCTAGAATTTGCCATTTGAAGTCCAACGCATTAAGCCTTCTGACTTTCTTGGCGTTATGACGGTTACCCACTCAGCTGAGAACTATATAGATTTCACTGTGAGCCAAGGAAAGTTCCTACTACCCAGGCAGAAGAGGTCCAGCAGAGCTCAGAGAGTGCCCTAGACACCACTATATCTGACAGGCTGGTACCATTCCCTCTTCTACCTTTTCACCGCTAGCAATAGTCACCTCTGGGCTTCACCTGGCATAACTTTTCCTGTTGGTGACAGAGGGAAAAGAACTTTGCAAGGAGTAGATCAAAGGGTGCAATTCCTAGGCGAAATTTAAAGCAGCTTGTAGGAGGAGATGATTTGATCTTGAATTTCTTTCATTTTTTCTTCTTTCTCTCTTTCTTCTTTTCGGAGACTGTGGCATTACAATTTCACACTCTGCCTTGTACCAGGTAGAGAAACGAAATAGGAGTGGTGATGACAAACACCAGTCCCACGTATGCTAAGCCTTTGATGGCTTGCACCGCGTTTCTTCTCTGTCAGAGTGAGACTGTCCTGTCAGTCTCATGGCTGGGATTGGCACAGGATGTAGGCAAGGTTCACAGTGCCATAGCCCTGCACTTGCCTTACAATTTCATATGTTCCGTGCTCTCCTACAATGGTCTGCAAAAACATGTGTGGAAGTTCTTGCCAGTAAGCATAGTCATATACATTGGGCCAAAAAAATAGTCCTTTTTTATCAAAGTAGATTATTCTTTTCAAATAAGCACCAAACTTTGGCAGATTTCCCAGGACAGGTTGAGACATTGAGAAGGCTATTAAGGGTCACGCCAGTTGGTCCAAAGAAAGGAATAATGAGTTACTGTAGTAACTATTTTAGTCAATCCAATTTACTCCTGTGCAGCCTCATATCTAGCTGTGCTTCAAACCGCAGAAATGCCATTCTTTTCATATTCATTCATCCACCGCTGCCTGAAAACTCCCTAGATGCCAGGAGTATAAGGACTAAGAAAATATGATCCTTGTGTTTAGGGTGTGTTTTGTTTTTGAACATTAGCATTGAATCAAGCATTTTTAGGTGCCCACATCATTTGGAAAATATGCAATTGCTTCAGCCATACCTGTGAAATGAGATCTTGGTTCAATAAGGAAGGTGTGTATCTATTTGCTCATGTATGTGTGTAGGGTCTGACTAATACCTAAATGCTACAGAGTGTGGTTGTACACGTTGTGCATTATTGAACACTGGGGTGTGCTCTATATCCTGCAAAGCCAGTAGCCCCACCTGAGGCTCCCTGAGTTCCTACTATGTGCACAGAGCATAGTGAGGAGTTACACACACCTAGTGTGGGCTGCATCTGTCAAATCCCAGAAAGCATTCCTGTATCCACATTAAAGTGTGTGGTTTGACAGTCTTTAGATACAACCAAGTGTGTAAATGTATTCCATTTCTGATGCTTCAGGATTGTACCAATCATTGAATTTATTTATAACAATCATTACCTTAACCTGGCTTTACCAAAGAGGGAGTGAGAATTCACTAACTAAGGTTTAAGTCATGACATTTTGGAATTGTTTTCCTATGGTAAAAAATTGGAAATATTTAAAAACTGTAATGTACATGCTTCTTTCTTAGTACCCAGACCATATAAGACACAACTAAGAAAATCTCTCTTTGTACTGGGCACACAGGTATATATTTATAACTGAGCCTGTTTACCAAAAAATTCTCTGAGTCTTATGAGGAATGAGGCATCAGTGTCCGTTCCTTCTCTGTCTCCTTCTTGAGCCCAAGAGGCAGCCAAGTAACTGTCCTCATGAAAGCCCTGCCAGAGGGGTTTAGGTGCCCATCCTGTCCTGCTGGAGGGGACTAGGTGCCTGGCAAGGCCACTGCATTGCAGCCCTGGGGTACCGCCCTGTGGCAGGCTGGGGAGTCCCTCCTGTCCCTAGTGCACTCCTGTGTGCACCTTGCTGTGCTCTTACCTTGGCCTGCTGTCTCTCTTGAGGGTAAGTGCTTGGGATCCCAAAGTGAGCCTTGTTTCTATTTGCTTGACGTCATAGTTTGGGGATATTGCAAGGGGAACAATATAATATAGGATGCATAGTTTATAAGATTATTTACGATAGTCACCCAAAGAATCATATACGAAAGAATATGGGAAATCTATTCCCACACTAAAGATCAGAGAATCCAGCCAAGGGCCTGGATCCCATGGAAATGTCCTGCATGAGTCTAGCTGAAGACCTAGAGCCCAAAACAATGTCTCCCATGAATCCAACCAGAGGTCCAGAGCCCATAACAATATCTCATGCAGGCCTGTTTCATGGATCTGCACTGGGAAGGCCCAAAGGTCAGTGGTGGAAGCTAGAAAGCCTGTGCCAGCAGGATGAAGGATCTGTGCTAGCAGACTGAGGGATCTGCACTGGAGCCAGGAAGCGATGCTCAGAGTGAGGACAAGAGCTCCCCCAAAGGGAACTGAAGACATTCTCAGCAACAACAAAGTCCCGAGCTCCTTGGAGGATGAAAACAGTGAAGTTCATCAGGAAAGCCAGCATGATGAGCTCCTCCAAGAGAACCAACAGCTCCTTGCAGCTTCTCAGAAGCTTCCAACAGCCTTCCTCAGTTTCCAACAGCCTAACTTCTTCTCCAGTTCTGCCTCTTATGCTGCTAGCAACAGTCTTC